TGGAGGGGAGAGCAGGGCCAGCGTCTCCTACCCGAAGAGAGGCTTTGGAACCACCTGTTCGGCCGTCGGTTTTAGCGTTTCTCCGTTGGAAACTGACAGTTCTAATTTCCTTGCATGACGGAGGGAAAAATCCCCAAACACAATTCAGCATGTGGGGGAGCAGCCCCGGATCGTGACCGGGGAAACTAGTGCTGCTACCTTAACCCTCCCTAGAGACCCCACCCCAACCCCATCCCTCACCCCAACCCCACGGACCTGGTCACGATGCCAGTTATTTATCACACACGTGTGGCTCCCAGGAGGACAGTGGGGAGAAGCTATTAAGACTTCGGTCTCTGGAGCCAAACGATGGCCCTGCCGCTGGTAGAGTGGGAGCTTTGGGCATGTTTACCGTCTGTGGGCCTTGATGCGGACAGGCGCTCATGGAGACCGTCCTGATGATTAAATCGGATAACTCCTATAAAGAGCTTAGCTCAGTACCTGCGCATCGCTAATGTTCAATAAAAATTTTTTATTGTGAGTACTTCCAAACCACACCATCTTTTAATCAGCCCCTGTGGTCATAGAGAGCTTTGGATGTAATCAACAGAAACAAACTGAGACTACTGGAGCCAGAAAAAAATGTTTATTGGAAGGATATTAATAGCTTAAAGGACTGAGGGAAGAGCCGACCAGACAGAACTTGGGGAAGATGGGAACCAGGATAGTTGGGGGTCTCAGGAGCAAGACCGTGTGAACCATCCTTCTGAGGGGACGTCACTGCTGATAGCACAGTGGCTCGGGGCCAGATGCCCAGGAGGAGATCCAGCTGGCCCAGCTTGGGTCTGGGCCCTCCCCTGTGGTCAGGGGAGCAGAGGTCTGGGATTGGCTGCCCCACCAAAGCCACATGGAGCCAGTTCCACGATGACGGGACGCTAAGCAGACAAAACTACCTGTACTCGACAGACCTAATGCTAGATATGCCTGAGGACCTGCCAAGCAAATTACTCTCCACTGACTTTTCAACCACTTTATCAAAACTTAATTGCCTTTTGTAATAACCCAACATCATTTCCTCCCATCTTTCCAGATAATCATTCTGTTTTCTGAATTACTTCTATAATGTTTATTGACTCGTACATTCATTTAGTCAATAAATATTTATTGAGCAGCTTCCAGGTGTGATGTTCTGTTCTAGGGGCTGGTTTGCTTTAGTGAACCAAAGAAACCCCAGGTCTTTAAGCACTTACTTTCTACTGGGGGAGACAGGCAACCAAACATAAACAAATAAATATATGACATCCACTGGCAGTAGTTCTAACAACCAAGCACTCATGAAGAAAACCATAGACAGTGACAAGGAAAGAGTGAGGAGTGAGCATATTGCTCAGATTAGGCATTCACGTGTACTTGTGTCTAGCTTTCTATTCACATTCTTTAAAAATGTATGTTTAATTATAGTTGAAATACAATATTATATTAGTTTCAGGTGTACAACATAGGGTTTTAACATTTATATGCCTTACAAAGTGATCGCCATAGTAAGTAAGTCTAGTAGCCATCTGTCACCATACATAGTTATTACAATATTATTGATTCTGTTCCCTGTGCTGTATATTACATCCCTGAGTAAACTGTTCACATCTGATTACTTCATTTGTTTACTTGAAAGTAAATGACTAGTTGGCTTCCTTTCCTCCACCAGGAGTGAGCACCTTAAAGGTGAATCATGTCATTCATTTCTAGTCTTCCCCTGCCTCATGGTGGATGCTGAATAAATGTTTGTTGAATGAATGAATGAATGAATGAATGAATGAATACATCTCTTATTGTATGGCTATTGGATGAGTGTATTTGTCTACTTCTGAGCCCAGGCAGCCATCCTCCCAAGCGGGACATCGCAGGTGGCCTGGACAGAGGGGGGAATTCCATGTGGGCTCTGCCTTGTTAATGTTGTTGACTGACCAACTGGCTAAATAAGACATTTGTTTAACTCCTACTTAGCCAATTTCTCTTCTCTGGAATCAGGTTGGTTTCTATGTGTTATTATTGTTTTTATTTTTTCATAGCATGCTTTCTGCATTTAAGACCAGCTCTGAGAAAGAAGCTGAGAAAAATACCTATTCCTCTCAACTTGAGTCACAAAAATCGTGGCAATAGAATGAATCATAGCATCAGAAGGAAGCGCAGGCCAGCACCTGGCCAAGTGAGGGTGTGCTCTGAGTAACAGGGGCAATAGCAACGGTGCCCTAAGAGAACCTGGAATCCCACTGAACCTGTTCCCTCCTTACTTTCTGCCCATTTTTACTAACGTGTAGAGAAGTGGATCAATCCTCATTCCAGTACTGTGTCTAAAAGTAGAAAACAGAACAACGGAATGCTTTTCATTGTTTTTATTCAGCGTTTGTGTGAATTAGAGCAGTGTTGCTTGCGTGCTGGCCGCCGTGGCCCCCACCCCGGCTTCATTCATGACTTTCACTGCGGATCAGTGAATGGGCTGCCCTCAGAGCAGGGCCACGGCTGCGTGGGAGCCGTGTTTATAAACGGTCAGCTGGGTTGTGAGTATATTTAGCTTATGCTGAACGCCCCTGAGAGGATGGATGTCATCTGTTTCCAGTTTAATTGTGTTTTGGAGCATGGTACATTTTTCCCCCAGATGGATAAATATTCAGCCTTTTCCACTTCCTGAGGAAAGTTAGGGTTGGGTTCTGAAATTCAAATCGCCAGACTTATTAAATCAAATTAGAATAAAATGTAAAGAGCTGTAGAGTTCTAATTATGAGTACTTGTCGGAATATACCGCTCAGTGAAAAATGCCAAGTTTTGGGTAAAGATACCAGCACGGAGACCAGAAACCATTTCATTCATCATTAGCATGAAGGGATGGTGTGGCTGACTGATAGGATAATTACAAATAGTGGTTAAATACAGTATCTTCATATAACATTGAAAACTTTTCAGAGCAGTTTTTGTCCAACATTTTTTAGACTTTCATACCATAAACCTTAAAATTTATATATGCAAGTCAAAATAATTTATAGTAACTATTTTAAGCACTGTCACCATTAAAAAAGGATTCACTTTAGGCTTCTGTAAAAGCACATTTGGCCAGCTGTCTTTATTTATTTGTTCAAAAATCATAAACTTCCTGATAGAGATTGTCAAGGAAAAGTAAAGATCAGCTTGAAATGGGGGTTGGAAAGGGATTTTAGAGTGAGTAGCCACCCCTTCGGAGTAGAGACTTAGCAATGGTGACTCCTCCAATTAGCCCACTGCTGCCTAATAATGGCTGAGCTCGGATGAGACCCAGAATCTTCATGCTCACTCCTGAGTTCTTCCTACCCTATCCCTTTCGCCTGGAAATGATTATTTAACTTATCAAGATACATACAAAATCTACAAAATTTCTTTCGTGTATATGTTTCAGTGGAAGCAGCTATTATATGGGGTGGGCCAAAGTAGGTTGACAGTTGTACAAATAAATAACACAATTAATAAATAAATAGTAATACAAGAATAAACTTTGTTTTGCTTATCACAGCTGTAAACCTACTTCTTCCCACCCCTGTATAAACAACAGAAATATACACTGCCAATTATTTACACCTGCATTCCCACGTGTCCATGCCCCTCCCACCCCACCTCCACCACTTTGTTATCAATCTCTGAGAAAAAATGGGTAAGATAGGTTGTGTTTCCATGTACCTCTATGAGCGGATTCATGAACCGTGTCCAATGGCCTAGAGAACAGACAGAGCTTTAATGCCTCTCATGTGATGTTCTCATCTCCTGGTCTCACCCAACTGACTTAGAGGCCATAACTCTCATTTGTGGACCATCCAGAAGTTAAATAGCTTGCTGAGGTTCTTATCACGGAAATATATTGCCTCTAATCTATGTTCAAAGAGGCAAATGTGTTAACTTTTGGTAAAGCTCCTAGTTCTGCTTTAACTGTATTCAATTCTCTGCTAAATGCTTAGACGACTCTGATCCTTGGTGTATGGACTGAGATGCATTTTGCAGTGATTGGTACATCATTGAATACACAGAAATCGGTAGAATATCACATTTTTTTCTAACACGTCAGTTGGAATACTTTTTCTTCTTGAATTGCTAGAGTTGACTTTTGATAATAAAAAAGGAAGGATAAAACCCAAACAGTTGCCCATTTCTTGGTATCATGTCCCTGATAAAAACAATGCTGTGATATTTAAGAATTCAATGATATGAGTTGAGATGGTTTTTTTCAACAAGTTTTCCAAGAGGGCTCTGACCTTGCTGATAGTTTTTTAACTGTCTGAGATAAACTGATGAGATTGTCTAGATGGGTGCTCCCAGAGGTACCAAAATGCACTTTTCTCAAAGACAGGTTATAAATGCCAGAAACAAAAGCTGAGAGCCCATTCCCCTCTCCGCGCCCATTGGCGTGCAATTGAGTGATCAGGGCCCCTTCCTGGAAGCCCTCTCATCAGACGTGCTGGGCAGGTGAGGCTCCTCACAGGCCAGCCTCTTTGGTCCCTCCTTTCTTCTGACCGATAAATCAAACCAGTTCTCTATTCCCATTCACTGACCCATGTCACTGGGATTTCTTATTGTTGCATTAAGACACTGTGTCTGCTAATTCTTTTTGGAAAGTCCCCAAGCTTTGGTAGATCTTGAAGGCAGCTCATTTGGTGCTTGCTCTGAACTGACAAACGAAGGCCCCCATTCTTGACTGTCCCTTCCCTTGGGTCTGTGCCCTCTTCCAAGAAGTTTATAAATACCAACAAGAAGTCAATAACTATAATCGATGAGTTTTATGAGTTTAAAAAAAGTCTTCCTTCTCTTTCTAGGTGAGTCCTTTCTACAGAGCCCCACCTCCACCCCACCTGTAGTTCCTTTCCCAAAGGTGTTGACAACTAAACCCAAATCATAGGAAGTGGCGCTCTGCCACTAAAGTAGGTGGGGATAACGACTTTACAAATAGTCCATTCATATATTTATTTGCATTCAACAGGGTTGTTTTGCCTGTTTTCTTTTAGATCATCTCAACTTTGGTCTGTTGGAACGACCCACTCGTGACAGTCAAAAGTAAGTGTACATTTTAATTTTTCTTTCAATTGGCTGTAAATGGAAATTGCAGTTTTGTTCAGTGGTTTTCACGAGAGAGAATTTCATTCAAATATTTTATCAGTGAATAGTAGCATAAAGAATGCGAGTTTCATAGATAGGAAAAGATATGAGAGCCCCTCTTTAATTTTTGTGGAAAGGAAAATGGGTAGAAATGAAATAAATAAGGAACTGCCCATTACCCTTGAATATTACTTATAATGTAATAAAGTATATTTGCAACCACTGAGTGGAATGGTTTCTATTTTTAATTTTGTTAGTTTATTTTTTATGTAAGTATAGTTAGTATACATTCTTATATTGGTTATATTAGTTTCAGGTGTGTGACATGTTTATACTTTATAGTGTGATCAGCCCACTAATTCTAGTTATCATCTGTCATCGTGTGTATATACCAGGTTCGTCCCGGGCAGCTTCCAGAGTCCTCTCAGGAAGCACATTACAACATGTGCCTCTTCCTTTATTTTAAATTGGGCCACAGCCCAAGAAATATCTTAAAGGGCACCAGTTTTATGCTCTGCGAGGTCCTCACCACTGTGAGGCAATGTTGTACAATGGTTAGTGCCCCAAATCTGGAGATGCTTGGGATCAATTCCTGGCCCTTCCACTTACTAGCTACAGGATTTGGAGCACTTGTCCAAACCTCTCAGTGCCTCTGTTTTTCTGTCCATAAATGGGGCTAATAATACTACCTATCTTATGAGGTTATTACAAGGATTAGATGAGTTAATGTTTTCAAAATGTTAAATGCCTGGCACATAATAATGTTTGTTGAATAAATGAAAATTAAACATACAGGGGGGCTCCAAGATCCCATATTAAGAGATTGAAAAACGGGTTTGGCCTAGAAACAATGACACCATACCTACCATCCGAGTTTTGGCTTCCAATGATTATTTCCTAATAAAAGGAACTAGAGCTCTTCGAGAAATGGCTGATTTAAGACTGGCAAGAAATATGCAAAATGAGCCTGGAACATTTTTTAGTGCCAGAAAGTAAGGAAGTGCTAAAAGGAAAAACAAAAAAGCATACCTCATAGTCGTGTGACACAATGTGAGTCAAAGGAGAGAAAGTGCTCTCAGTGCCAAAGCTGGAACAGTTGGAGCCACAAAATAGATAAATTAGTATTGGGATTATCCCCCAGTTTCTGTGGATCGGGGATCTGGGTGAAGCCTAGCTGGACCCTCCACTTAGGGTCTCACAGAGATGTAAACAAAATTTTGGCCAGGCTGTGTTCCTCCTTGAAGTTTGGGATCTTTTCTTCCAAGCATATCTGACTGTTGGCAGAATTAAGGTGAGGTTGTAGGACTGCGGTTCCCCGCTTTCTTGCTGGTTGTCTCCAGGGGCACTCTCATCTCCTAGGTATTGTTCACATTTCTTGCCATGTGGCCACTTGCTTCTCACAGACCCTGTCCCATCTTGGCAGCGTCAAACCAGCAGGAGGAATCTCTCACTCGGACCTGCTCAGACGGAGTCTTACCTGTGTAACCGAATGTCGCCTAATCAGGGGAGCGACTAGCCTTTTGACGTTGCTAGAAACAAGTCAGGGGTTGTGCGTGTCTCACGGGGAGGGCCTCATAGAGGGTGTGACTGACCGGGGATCCCCTTAGGGTGTGTCCACTATAACAGGAGAGTTTTGAAACAGATACAGGCAGCTGGGCATTGGGATCTCCACCACGTGTGAGCAAACTAAAGAAAGGAGCACAATTCGAAAATGCTTGCTTCTTGCTTTTAATCAGACTAAAGCCCGAGGTAAATACATTGATTTCATCCTGCCCCTCTGCCCTCTCCCTCCCCAACACAAAATCATGTTTAAAATACTCCTCAACGTTTAAAAACACGCCTCCTCAAAGTTATCAAATGACAGTTCTGAGTATTTGAAGATGAAAAAGTCAGAGAAAAGTATTTGGAGATAGCTCGTAAATGCATCACCACTTTCCCGACACGGGGTCTTTTAGTTTTGTTTTTGTTTTTTGAGCAATGAAGGAATTTGCACAAAAATGTGTTCTCAATTGAGTAACAACAAGGTTTATGCACTTTAAGAAACATCTTTGTAAAAGCTGAAGTAAAATGGTCTCATTGGCATGACTTTTCATGACTTAGCTTTTCCATTTTGAGATCGTTTCATTTTTTAGTACTTAGGTTTTAAAATTCTGTCTACTCATAATTATTAATAGGAGGATAATATTTAGGTCGTGTTTTTTGCATTTTACACGGTGCTGATAAATTTGTGTATTTCGAGTGTATTAAATACTCACTTTCACCGGTGTCTTTTTATGGGTTCCGAATCCTTTTCTTACAAAATATTAAATACAGAAATGCTGGTATTGTCATTTTGCTCCAGTACTGTAATCACCACCCAGATTTTTATGAATTCAATTCCCCCC